CAAGTCAGCCTCATGGGCTGATTTGACAAGGAGGAGGCTCTATTTTCAGCCTTCACTCCCTTAACATACAGAAGTCCATTTATTGCTATGCTTCACCATCACCTTGAAAACCAGATTTCAGAAATATTAATAGCTCTTATTATTTGAATGAAAGTAAATACAAGTATATATGCAAGACTAGACAGACTGTTGTTTTAATTTTGTTTGTTCCTCTTGTTTCTTCAGAGAACATGAAGGTTATTTAAACTTTCCACAAGGCTTTATTGTCCAATATTACTCATAATGCAAACCACACAAATATCCCTGGCTGCTATGACAGCATCTCTTGTGTTGGCTCTGCTACACCTTGTTTATTTCACTTGCTTTGTATTTGAGTAGAAATGCTTGGCGTTTTTTATTCTTACATTTGCTCCCTTGGTCTGAATACAGGCTGCTAGCTGAATGATTTTCTCGTTAATTTGGAGTAAATTATGCTGGGTTGGAATTTTTGTTCTGTTTTTTGTATTCACTGAGCTTTGACCAAGATACCAACTACCTCAAACTTGTATTGCATTTCTATAGCATTCTCTTCAGCAAGGTATGACAGTATTATGGGACTGACATGTGAAAAGTGATCATATACAATTACTGTCCACTTGAAAATATTTTTTTTTAAATTGCTTTCACTGGTGCTCTTTCAAATGGTTTTGAAAGGAGCACTTCCACACTGCCAGGCAGTGTGGTGAGGCTTAAGGTTCAAAGTGTTCAAACAGCAGGTCTGACACAATGGATATATTTTTTGCATAGTATAGCTGTGACATTTAAGTGCTTCAAAGAGCAAATGGTACAAGATTACATCTGATACCTGTCACAAACTTCACCTTGAAATAACAAGACTTGCAGCACTTTCTGAAACTCCCCATATGCAAACGATGCTGGATTCTCTTTGTTAGCAGAAAGGAGCTTACGCTTCTGAGGATCCTTGGCTGGGTGCATCTCCTTTTGCTCCCTCTTGGACCTCTTGGGGTTAATAGTAGAAGTGCCTCAACTGAGGCTGAAAACTTGATGAAATCATAAGGACAGTAGTGCCAAATCATTGCTTTAAAATGTGAAGTTACAGGCCCTATACGAAGGCCCGGTGTCCTGGTTCCAGCCAGAACAGGGTTAATTTCTGTAGTAGCCAGGAGAGGCGTGGACCAGGACCTATAGGTTATTCTGTACTACCTGATGCACGCACAGGGGCTGGAGGAAGGGGTCTCTTCCAGTCAGGTAGTAGGAAGCAGGCAGTAAAGGGTAACGTGTCTGCGTGGTGAGCACATGTGAATCCTTCACCTCTCTTGTACACTGTTATTAATATTGTTGCTGTTACTGCTCATTTATTATCTCATTGCTGCTTCCAGTAAATTGTCCCTATTTCAACCCATGATCCTAGCCTTTTGTACCTCCAGTTCTCCTCTCTAGCCTTCTTCAGAGATGAGGTAAAGAGAGGGGCCAGGGGAGTGAATGGATGGTGCATGGATTGTAATGTTTCAGTGCCAACACTAAATTGGGGAATACCATTCCTAAACCATGACACTATGGGTTAAAAAACTGGACCTGAGTCTACTTCTGGCTTGGTTTTGACAAGCAGTTGGGCTGATCACATGACTGATTTCTATGGCACTGCATTCAGAAGTACCTGACTCCAGGAACCAGGCCACCAGTGAGCACACCATTTGGCTTGTTGCTGAAGTGATGAACAATCCTTACCAGAAAAAAAATCTGGTCACTTCATTAACTATTGAATTAACATGGATTTTTTTCAAATTCTGTAAAGCAAGCACCCCAACTTTTTTGGAACACTGATGAAGGTTTGAAATGGCGCTAGAAAGCTTAAAGTGGTGTTGAATCTCAGTTGCTTAGAGGCTATATTACTCATGTGTCATAAAATATGATCAAAGATAAGACAGAAGAAGCATTTAAAGAATAAAGTGCTTGACTTTTTTGAATACTCCCTTAAGACTACACATATCTAAATGATACAGAAAAGCATCTTCCTTGTGCACATGGAGATTGCAGGAGTGCTTGGAGGTTATGTTAAGGTATCATTGCTGACATGGAAAATCACTGGCTGTAGAACCTAAGTATTTCCTATGCTGCTAAGGAGTTACAGACAGATTGGATGAAGGCACAGTGAAATTTTATATGGGAAGTCAGAATAGTTGACAAAATTGGATTTTTATGCTTGAAAACCATAGATCTGATTCAATGCTATTGACTTAGTTATTTCAGACCAAGAAGCTAGTAAAAAAGATAAGATTATTGAGTCTGGAAGATACTATTCATAAAACTACCTTCCTTTAGCTCATTGGTCCAGTACCAGAACTTGAAAACATTTTGGTTTCTGAAACCCACCTATTCCAGTACCAGCAAGCACCCCTGAAACAGCCTACTCTCTTCTAGAAACAGGTAATGCACACACCACTACAGTTAGTGATTAATGCTTTTAGATATGAAAGCTGTAATCCTAAGCTTTCAGGCAGTAGAAAGCATTAATTTCCAGCCTTTCGGGGTCTTGAGCTATCTGACCTTAAAAATATCAAGCTTAGACTCGTCTTTTAACCTGTGAGAGATGTTTTGCTTTTGGCCCAAGCCTGAAAATAATGTCACACACACCTAAGGTCACTGCAATATCCAGTTCCTGAAAACACATAGAAGCTGACTAGATTAGTAAGCTAATGTAGGAAAAATGTGTCTGAACTGCCAGGGCCAAAGCTTTTATCTAGGCTAATGGGTATATAAATAGCAACACCCCCTTCCTTCTCCCTCCCTCCCCCCTCCACCCCCCCATAAAATGAAAAAATAGGTTCAGTGTAAACAGCACTTTTTACCTAGCAAATTTGTCTGAATATGCCAGAAGCTGGCTGATTAGTATTTTTCGCTTATTACCACAGCTACTTACAAAACTGTCACCCTCAGAAGGTTATAATTTAATATCCAGTATTGATTCATCTGCAGAGCTACTTGATTTTATAAATGTTACAGATTAGTCTTCGTGCTTTTCCTACTGGTTTTTCAGTTGGTTTTAAATTTCTAGATTGAAATTTCACTAAATAATGATAATAATGAAAACAAGTGCCTGAAGGTCAATGCTAATGCAGCATTAGCAATACTAATACTGTTGTGTTCTAGCAGTGTCCATCACTTCAGGTTCACGGACAGCTTATGTGCTAAAAGACCTGTCATCATGGGCTGTGAAACACATGCGGTAATTGGAGCTGTGTGAGAAAAATGCGTTTAGGTCATGAAACTTCTCTAGGATATAATTTAGCAGTCATTGAGACTGCTGTTGTTAATCTTTCTAAACGATAGAAATGTAACAGAAAAACGTAGGTCGGGGAGGACCCCTAGAGGTCACCTGGGCAAACGTCCCTCTTGGAAAAGGACAAAGATCCCACTCGGGACCAGATGCTTCGTTATTTTGAGAGGAAGAGCAGGGGAAAGGAGCTTGATTGCAAGTGAAGTGTTTTATCTAAAGAAACTCTCCAAGAATTGATAGTTTTGGAAATCTGTCATGCATATTCAATACACCTTAAGTCGTGGTAACCCGGGGCTGTTCCGGGGCCATACATACAGGACACAGCAAGGAAGGGAACAGACATGGCCTCCAGGCTTATTTATTTTTGCTACAAATGTTAGGTTCCTCCAGAACAGAACAGAAAACCAGTGATGAATAGAAACTATTAGCATAGGAGGGAAAGAAATTAAGTGTTATGATGTATTAAAAACAGAGGAAAGGACTTTGGTAGCAATTGTCTAAAGAATAAATGTGTTTCCTTCACTTCTTCATTCTTTTCAACATCTTTTTCATAGTATCGTTTTTTACGTCTTCATTTGGAGAATACTGTAGCATTTGGGCATTTAGAAATGCAGCTGTGCAATACAGAGTGACTGAACTATATCATAACAGGGGAATAGGCAGTGATGTTAGCAAGAACCAAAAAGTCTCTATCCACCAGACGGGGGGAAAACAGAATTTAAATCCAAATTAACACCAAGTTATCATAGTAATTACTTAGAAGCCTTTATATGTAGATTGTGGTGGGGTTTGCCTAAACACTTCACAGATGTCTAAAACAACGGATGAAGACATAATTTAACAATTCTGTCAAAGAGATAAATTAACAATAGTCTCAAAATGTACCAGTTAAGGTCGCCAATACTACAACTTTTCATCAGTTGTTAGGTTTTTTAAAGTGTCCTGGCCTTTTTTAAAATGAAAAAGCTGGTTAGGTATCAATCCGGGTGTGAAAAAGAAACCTTGTATTTCTTCTAATAGTTTATTTTGTTTAAATACCATAAAATGCAAGACACTATCTTGAGGACTTTAGGATTTTGTTTGCATGTGTGGAATGCAGTTAAGTACAGGCAGCAGGAGCTTGGAGAATATACGCGAGATAGTTTACAGCCGGACTATGGATGCAACGCTGTATTTGTGTACACGAGCACGGGCGTAGGTATTGTGGGAAAGAGGCACTGCCAAGCCCTTGCTAGCATAGCAGTAAGCCTCCCTGCAGGCTGCGTGCGCAATTCGGTTAGCTGTGCTGCACCTCGGTCTTTGCAGCTTCTTCCCAGGTGAGGAGGACGACCAAGGCCCGCTCGTAGCTGCCATGCGGATGGGGCGCCTTGGCACACCCACCCTCACACCTCCTCCCTCCCGGGCCACTGAGCCTGCGGGGCCCGTGCCCAGGGAAGGTGACACAGACAGGTCGGTGCCCTGAAGGCCTCCCTGGCTCCGAGCTGCCCAGGCGCTGCCAGCCGGTCCGGAGAGCTCCGGGCGTGTGACCGGCGCGGGGCCGGGGCAGAAGCCGCGCCGGGAACAGCCGAGCCGAACCGCGCCGACCCCCGATCCCCCCGGGCCAGCGGGGCGGCACCGCCCACGCCCGTCGGGCCCCGCTCCCCCCGGGAGGCAGCGGGAGGGAGAGAGGGAGGGAGCGAGAGAGCGGGCGGGCGTGCGGACGCGTGAGGGCGGTGCGGCGGGAGGGGCCGGCCGGGGCGGTGCTGGCGGCGGCAGGAGGAGGAGGAGGACGAAGATGGTGGCCGCGGGAGAAGCGGTCGGCTGCTGGGCTTTCCGCCCTGCGCTGCATCGCCACCCCCGCTGGAGCCGCCCTGCCTGCTGAGGAGGCGGCGCGGACCCGCACCAGGTGCGGAGGGGTCGCGGCCGGGAGCGGGAGGGGGGTCCGGCCGCGCCCCCGCCGCGGTGTCGGGGAGGCAGCGGGCCCGCGGGGCGCGTTCCCGGTGCGGGATGCCGGGCCTGTCCCGCCCGCAGCGGAGTGCCGGGCCGGTCCCGCCCGGCGGCTCCCGCCCGCAGCGGGGTGCGGGAGCTGCGGCCGCCTCTGTCCGGCTGCGTGGGCGTGCGCGCATCTCCGAGCCAGCGGGGCAGCTCTGCACCTGCCCCGGGCTGCGGGGAGCGGCGCCAACGCGGCCATGACCGCCTCCATCCCGGCCTTTGGCGAGGCATTGCGTGCTTTCCCTCCGTTTATTTATTCCATTATTTTATTTGGTGGGGGTGGGGTGTGTGTAGAATAACGTCGTGTGGAGCCGTGGACCTGAAATCAGTGCACTGGTTTCCTGTTTTTTATGTTTTCCTACGCGCACCTTTTTTATGGTGGAAAGGAGAAATGGTGGGGGGCGGGGGCAATGTGGGGATTTCGCATCCGGCGATCGAATGGTCGCGTCGCAGCAGGACGGTCTCAGCAGCCCCTTCCGTCGGGAGATGTTGCCGGGGTTGGCGGCCACGTCCCGGTTTGCAGCAGGGAACCCAAGGGGGCCTGGATCTACCCGTCTTCCCCGTGGAGCGTGCTCTCCACCCCGGGCTGGGGGGAAGGTGACATCTGCTACCATCACGTTCTGCTTTCAGGAAATGGAAGACGTCTTGATTTTTTTTTTTTTTAATTTTTTTTTTTAAATTTTTTTTTTTTTTTTCCCCGGAGAAGCAGTTTGAAAACAATGATTGCCTGAATCACAGTCGTGGTCAGTGCAGCCGTGTACATTTCGTCTGGTTTCTGTAAGGATCAGAGTCAATAGGAGCAGCCTACCAAGACTTGTTTTACTGCCATCATAAATCTTCTCTTTAAGAGAGATGGGGCTGTGGGTCTAGGATGGAAAACTACATCTTTTTGCTTTCTCCTGTTGCGGATTTTTCGGGCTGTGGAATTGCAGTTTGGTTTAGAGAGTGCATTGCAGATCTGGCTGCTTTCATAGCTGCTGAGGAACTAGAAGGCAGAGATGTTTGCCTGACTCCGCATACATTAAGAGTGAGCTAATGTGGGTGTAGGGCATGTAGCGTTTTTCTTGTCTTTGACATGCGTCACGTTACACCAGCTAATAAGAGTACACCCAGGTGGCTGCGGTTTTGAGATGCTCTGCAGCTGTGGCCTATGGGGTCCCAAATAACATGCCCGTATTCCAGTCATAGTACTCCAGGTTCTGCTGCATTGCTGTTAAATCTGGACCACCTGCACCTGCCTTTGCAGCCCATATCAGGAACAACCATGTGATGTCTCTTCTTCCCAAAAGGTGATGGTGACATAGTGTGTTTATTCTCTGTGTTCTGCCAAATCAAAAGTGAGGTGCAGGTTTGCCTTTATCTCTAGTGCTGTGGGAGAGAGGAGCAGGATAGACTGCCCAGAAGTGTGTTTCAGGAGGGAAGGAGAACAGTTACTATTGAATTCTGTGCATTCATGTGTGTTTGTACAGAAAAATTAAGTGTTGGGTGAATAATAATGGATAACCACAAGAAACTCTGAAAAAGCAGAACATTTAATGTAGTGTACCTTAGATGAGTGTTTTGGATGTTTAATGAGTGAAATGTAAACCTTAGTGAAAGACAGCTTGGCTTCCTTGGAAAATGTGGTCTGAGATTAATATATCAATGAGCTTTTAGGCCAAACTGATTTCTGGAAAGTAATGGTGGTTCAAGGTTGGCTGGGTGCTGTGAATCGTGTAATTCATTGCTCTGAGTTTTGGACATTTCTAGCTGTAGCTTAAAATGATATTTTTATTTTACATTAGTGCATTATTTTCCCTTACAATAGCAAACATTCTGGCTACTATGCTGTCTTTTAACAGATGCAGGGCCAACCTATTAAAACGCTATCAAAAGTATTTACTGATTAGCTCTTCAGCTCAAAAATGTAAGAATGCTGGGAAGGTGATTTGGTACATGTAGGTAGATAGAAAAGATAGTTCTGGTGCGTGAAGAGGGAATCATGCCAAAGCTTTTTAGTATAACCCTGTTTGGTTACTTAATATGAAATCCTTTATGACAAGTTTGCAATTTCATATATATTGGGAAGGGAATGCATTCTGGTATTTTTTTTTTCATTTTCTTTCCTTTTTTTTTTAATTGAATAGAATTGCCTTCATGTATTTAAAACATGGGAGCTAATGCTTTAGAAGAGATTTTTTGATATGGGATGTGGTGGATCTTTGTGGATGCCAAAGGTGAGAATCTTGTAGTCCACCATCTTGTAGTCCACCATGTCCTTATTATTTTGAGGATCTTACAAATCTGAAGATTTTGTTTGCTCTGTGATAATGTAAGTAATCCATAACACTTGGAATAAAGGGAGTACTAATTTGGAGACTAAAGTTTGTATCATTTATCTAAATGGGAATGAGGATGAGAAACCTGAACTCTTTGCATATGAGATTTGAATAGATTTTAATTTGACCAGGAGCTGGCTTGTGACTTCTTTGATACCATTTTAAGCCACAGTCACATGCAATGCTTATGTTCTTAAACTTAAAATGCCTTCAATATGAGGACTGTGTGCATCTTTGAAATGTAGATAGCATTTTGTTTTATAAGCAGTGCTTATCAGCACTACAGCCAGCAGAAAAGTCATGAGGATAAAACAAAATGGAATCTCCTGTTCAGCTTCTTGTTTTGTATTTTTAACAGGCCAGTGTGGCCAGTCATTTGCAGTGGTTTTGTTGCTTGGCTTTAGATTGTGTCAGTGTGTGGTAATGTTTATTGCAAGCAAAAGCAGGAAAAAACTAATTGTAAGTCCAGAAAATGTGGCTGAGAAAATAAACACCATGTTGCTATATGTATGTGAGTTCAGGGTTAGTAACCAAAACTAATGAACATGCTAAAAAACCAAAAAAGGAATTATAATATAAAGTTCAGTGTCATCAAATAGACAAAATGCAGGAAAAACCAAGCTGAGAGCTCAAACTTTTCACTTGTATCCCATGGCCTAGATAATTCAGATTCCGCATTTTTCCCTTTGCACATGAATTGTCTGTTATTGATCATAGCTGCTCTGGATTTACATGAGATTATGAATTAAAAGGACCAGATATTTTTTCTTGAGATCTTAAAAAAGATTATTAAAAATATTAGAAATTTTTAATAATTAATTTTTAATTAATATTCCGTTTAATACATGTTGTCCATAGGCCGTGTGGCTTGATTAACTAAATCTTAACTTTGAACAAGATCTTATTACCATAGGCTTAAGTGAAGCCTTGATAAATGCATTTTTAAATGTGTTTTTCTGGTTTCCTAGAAGGTGAAGATTCCTTCTTAGTGAGAGTTCTAGCAAACAGCCCTTTGCTAATTTATTTCCAACGGATTACCAGTTATATGTATTGCATAGGGGTTAAAGGTTTCTGAGAAAGAGATTGATTGGTTTTTCTTCACAATAATGATTGATTTGGTAAGTCGGCTGCTAAGAGCAGTGTGATAGTATTTTTCTGTTTCCACTGCACACATCAATGTTCTGCCAAAAATCTACATGTTTGTTGCTTTACTGAAGGGGCCTAGGGAAGCATCTTTATTTGCTGCTTTCACAAATGCAGGCACGTGATGATAATGCCTGTCCTAATTCTGAAGAAATAAATACAAAAGCAGTACAATGGGTGCATGACAGCTGTGGATGGCAGGGAACTTAGCTGAAGATACTCCAGAGCCATAAGAACGTGTGTTTTCACACTAAACCTTTTCTGCTAGAAACCATCCATGACATGAGAGGAGGAATGGAAGTGCAATTCTGTTTCTAGGGAGTTCTGTTTCTACGGAGATGCTGCTAGGCAGGTGGCATCTCACCTGGTCTGTCATGTCTCCTGTGGTGATTTCTGTCTAATTAAAAATATGTACTGGGAGAAGTTTCCATCACCCACGAGCCTGTGTAAGTAGCTGTGGATAAGCGATGGGGCTTTGACCATCACCGGGGAAGCTGTAATAAATGTATTAGAACTATTTAAAACAATATCTAGTCTGCATGAGGTAAACCACATTGGGAGCCTCTGTTTTTCCTATCACTTAGCAAAAGGAGGAGATGTCCTTTGATGTTCTCCAATTAAAATAAAAAATTCAGAATGTTTAAGTTTTATTTTTTTTAGCCATATACTTTCCCCTCTGTGTTTTCCAGCCTGTTCTTGGGCTGTTTGGTCCATCAGATCTTGTTCACAAGCCAGCAATTAAGAATCGTGCCTTTTCTTTCTGATAAGCGCTTCCATAAATGCTGCTTTCCTTAAGAAGATGACCACCTTTTCACCCATCTGAGAAAAATGTAATTGTAGGGAGCGAGAGACTTCATTAAAATCTGTGAGTTAGTCATGGGCAACACATACCCGGAATTTAGGCTGAATCCTTTTGGTGGTAGTTCCTTTTCCAACTAATTTTCAGAGCTTTTTCAAAGTCTTCTGAACCTTTTTTGTATATCAGAAACATGCCTGCTGAATTTAATTTTCAAACTCTGAACTCAAAAGTTGAACACAGGTCAGAAAAAGCACAAGAACAGCAGAGCCATGGAGGCTACAAAACTTGCTCATTTTGGCGAAGCTTATTTGAGTACCCTACACTGACTCACTTTTGCCTTATTTTTTCCATTTTGGGGATGCATGTCAGGGTGAGAAATGCCTTTCAGTATGTATGTATGTGGTTAAGGTGTTCATTCAATATCTAGTATTTATTGGTTTTGATTTGATTAAACATTTTAATTTCTCTGCAAGAATTTTCACTTCTGTACCTAAGAAAATGGCTTTCTGATCATTCTTCTTGTGGTGGTCATTCTGATTTGAGTTTTTTCTTAATGAACATGCTTTCTCAAAACTTGGATGAACAAGAACTTAAGATCTGGGTAAAAGGAAGGAGGAAGAAAAACAAAAGAACATAATGCAAGTTTTTAAACAT